ATTTGTTTGACATTCTTTATTCTTTGATGTGAGTCTTCTCCTTCTGCCTTTCTAACCCCCAATGGAGCATAGGCCCTCAGCTATCTCAGGCCAAGCAGTTGTGTCGCTATCGCGTTCAGCTCTCGCTCATATCCACCGCCACTTTTTAACATCACTCTCTAGTTCCCGTCTCCATGTGTTTCCTGGTCCGTTTTTATTTCCATACCCCTGTGGGTTCCCGAGCAAAAACGTTGTAGTTATCGTTTCGTCTCAGGCTTTCTAAACGAGTGTCCTATCTAACGCCAGCGTCTTTTCTTCACCTCTTGGTCCACTGAAACTTGTTCACTTCTCTCCCAAAACTCAAAATTAGTGATTCTATCAACAAACTATTGAACGTAAAATATTAAAGTCACAAGCAACAAAGAAATGCTGGGGGTAGTTCTGCAGCTGCAGACGAAACACAGCTAACTTAATCGGTAGGAATTAGGTCTCTGTGGTAACCAGGAGAAGAACAGCTCAAACATTTACTAAAATAGTAACAGTATTTTTCCTAGGTTCGACAGGATCTGCGTGGTCTCGACTCATGGTGTTCGCCTCGAATGCTATCGGCTCATGGTGTTCGCCTCCAATGCTATCGGCTCATGGTGTTCGCCTCGAATGCTATCGGCTCATGGTGTTCGCCTCCAATGCTATCGGCTCATGGTGTTCGCCTCCAATGCTATCGGCTCATGGTGTTCGCCTCCAATGCTATCGGCTCATGGTGTTCGCCTCCAATGCTATCGGCTCATGGTGTTCGCCTCGAATGCTATCGGCTCATGGTGTTCGCCTCCAATGCTATCGGCTCATGGTGTTCGCCTCCAATGCTATCGGCTCATGGTGTTCGCCTCCAATGCTATCGGCTCATGGTGTTCGCCTCCAATGCTATCGGCTCATGGTGTTCGCCTCCAATGCTATCGGCTCATGGTGTTCGCCTCCAATGCTATCGGCTCATGGTGTTCGCCTCCAATGCTATCGGCTCATGGTGTTCGCCTCCAATGCTATCGGCTCATGGTGTTCGCCTCCAATGCTATCGGCTCATGGTGTTCGCCTCCAATGCTATCGGCTCATGGTGTTCGCCTCCAATGCTATCGGCTCATGGTGTTCGCCTCCAATGCTATCGGCTCATGGTGTTCGCCTCCAATGCTATCGGCTCATGGTGTTCGCCTCCAATGCTATCGGCTCATGGTGTTCGCCTCCAATGCTATCGGCTCAGGGTTCAATCCCAGGTAGGCGCTGGGATTTTTTTACATGGACTTGGACTTCTAAGAAAGCAATGGCAAACTACTGGACGTAAATTTGCCTAGAGAAACCACACAACAGTCAGGGGCTGCTAGGGTTGGTTCTCCAACGTCCTGTAAAGGATACGCAACTAACCTTTGGACTTCTAGTAATTTCCTCTGGTCTCTGGGTAGTGAAAAAAACTTTGGCAGTTGGAAATCGTGCAGAGTAGCCTAACTGCCCGGCAAAATTTAGAGCTAAAAATCTACCCAAAGTAGTTTAGGATCCTCGCCGGTGCTACAGAGCGTGTGCATTGTGCTGAGCTTCTTCGGGCTCATATATGAGTTAGAAGAAGATCGGAGCACGTAGGGGTTACTATCCGTGTGTCACGATGTTGATCCGTTGTTCAAAACCTCAGAACCTCAAACTTTTTAGGTTCGCATTCACACTAGGGCGAACTTTTTATGATTTTACCTTGGCTCATAAGTCGACCCAGCCTAAAATTGTTACCAGAAGATGTACTGGAAAACAAAGGCGATCGGCGTGATATTATTCACATCACTCATTGAATATTGACTTATCTATACAAAAATTGTGAGCATCATTTGCCAGATCTGCAAGGCGTTTGTTTTCAAATATTGTGAGCTTTTTATGATTTTACCTTGGCTCATAAGTCGACCCAGCCTAAAATTGTTACCAGAAGATGTACTGGAAAACAAAGGCGATCGGCGTGATATTATTCACATCACTCATTGAATATTGACTTATCTATACAAAAATTGTGAGCATCATTTGCCAGATCTGCAAGGCGTTTGTTTTCAAATATTAAGAAGCGGTGGTGCATTTTCCTTCTATTTTCTGCCCTTCTAGTCTCATTTCATTTATACTTTATTTCATTCATACACCATTTAAAAGTTTATATTAAACATCATTAACAACAATCAAAATATTTAATACAAATTCTGAATGTATTTGAATTATACCTTCATTTCTAAACAATAACAATTGTTAATATAACAGCTGTAATTGTTCTAATAAATGTAAGGGAAATGTTCACGACTGACTGACTTTTTACCCCACTAGGACATCACACCGAGCGATAAACACCAGGTGACATAACGTGCCACCAATCCGATGAGAAACACCCTTAGACATGTCCAGAAACCCCGTTTAACCCATATGTGGAATAATATTGCATTGTTTATCGTCCATCACGATTGATGAAGACCACTTTTCATCCAAAGTAGTAATGATCAATGATTATGAGTATGAAGGTGGCTGATTAGTCCAATATGAGATCGGAAAGCTCTTGGGCAGTTCGGACAACAGGTGGAAGCTGCAGTGCGTGTTGGTTTGGCAATACGGTTCTTTCTAGTCTGCCTCCGTTTCTCTGCCTGTGCAATCTCCGCTGTTTAATATTTGGACTCCTAGAAACAGCCAGGGTGGGGCCCCAAAAAAAAAACGAAAAACTGTGTCCCACTTCGGGACGAATATGGATGAGTACTATAAAATATATCATCAGCTTAACAAACTATTTATCTTTTAAGAAAAAATATTGTCTGTTAAAAGAAAATATTCACATTACTTCCGATTGCATGCAAGAAATAGAGGAGAGAAGTAAATGCATATTTTAAAGTTTACTATGTAAATAATGTGTAAACAACAAGAATTCGTCCATGTGGTCGACCCTTCAAATGTTTACCAAATCTGGTTGTTGACTGTAACCAGCGTATTTTCTACATTAATTTATTACCTCTCACGGGATGGTATCAGCGCAACTGTGCATAATTAGCTCCCCTGAGATGTGCTCAACGGGAACTCTTTCCATTCTTTAAAGATTTATTGCAGGTTAAATTCGTTTCTTTCTTCGACAGCAATTATGGTCAGCAACTGACTCCATTTGTTTTCGGTCAGATTCTTCTTATTTTTCTTCTTCTTCTTCTTCTTCTTTTTCTTCTTCTTCTTCTTCTTCTTCTTCTTCTTCTTCTTCTTCTTCTTCTTCTTCTTCTTCTTCTTCTTCTTCTTCTTCTTCTTCTTCTTCTTCTTCTTCTTCTTCTTCTTCTTCTTCTTCTTCTTCTTCTTCTTCTTCTTCTTCTTCTTCTTCTTCTTCTTCTTCTTCTTCTATTATTATTATTATTATTATTATTATTACTATTATTATTAACATTATTGTTATTATTATTCATCTGCGGTCTAGTGCGATTAGCACCTTGTAGTTGACATCTGGGCTGTAGTATATTTTGACCTAACATCCGATTTCCACGAATCTCTACACCGTTTACGACATAGTTGTTAGGGGAAAAAATGGTGCCAGGGGACCCACACGAGAATCCTAGATCAAATAATGTCTCCAGCTGTGTGACACTTTGAGAGGGACAGTTCTCAGATGGAAGCAGATATGAAAGGGACACCTTTACGACTTAAGGAAGCCCGGAGAAGGAAAGTTCTCAGGTGGAAGCAGAAATGAAAGGGATACCTTTACCACTTAACGAACCCTGGAGAATTACAGTAGACATCGAAATTAAGGATTGCAAAATACTATGAGACAACATAAACAGAAAAGTAGGTAAGAAAGTAAATTTTATCCCACCTGGACATCACACAGAGCGATGAACAACCGGTGACACAAAGTGCCACCATCCAGTTGATGATCACCCTTGGAGAGGTCCCAGAAGCCCCGTTCAGCCGTTAGGTTATATTAGGGTTCCCAGGGGAACATTCAGGGTGTGGCTTCAAAATAACGAAAAATTGCATCCCACACGGAGGACGACTTTGATAGAACTGATAAACAGAAAAATATAAATCTGGTAACAATAGATCGCTTGACTGATTTATGCGTCAACAACGAAACAAAGATGATAGAGACTAAATTTACAATTAACACTTTACAGTTAACCTTAGTCCCATAGCAAATACAGCCGTTGACTGAGATATGTTACAGTCTCACATTTTATAGGTCACGACATATGTAGGGTGGGTTAGTCTCCTTGGTCTTTGACTTTCCGTCACATACACTTCCCAGGAATTTATTCTAAAAATATGTATATAGCCCCTTTTTCCTCAACATCTAGTTTCAATGTTATGTTAAAGCACTGTGTTATTATCAACTATCACTGTGGGTCATATCATTGCTAATATACATGCCATTATTTTGTATTATGATGTATCACACCACTGCTAACATACACCTCGTTATCAAGTACGAAGATATTCAAAATTGAACATACGATTCGCCTTTAAAAACAAAAACATTTTCCCTAACGACACAGTTCGTTGCTTGCATCATTCAGTAATCTTTTAGCTAATTAAACATCAACCTACTGTATTTGTTCACTGGTTCACGACTTGCGAACGAATCAACGTGGACATTGCCTATCCCGCTAGCTGGTGAAATTCGTTTTCTTCGAACAGAAGGTCAAAATGCCGCCGAGAGTCATCGTCGATTGTGTCATGTGTACAGTGATAACTTGTGAATGACAGTTATGTGAGGAATTGATGTCGGAAATTCATAGATGGGCGTAAAGATGTGTGTGATGAGAATGGACAGGGATGACATTCAATTGTGACAGATGAGCTTATTTAAACGTCGACCAAGTCGTCGTAGAAAAGCGTTGTTTCACAATTTCCGATCTTTTTATCAGATCTTTTAGCTAGTCCTACACATTTTTTGGGGTTCTTTTTACGATGTCCAGCCCAAATACACACTGGCTGACCTTTCATTCATGCCTGCTCAGGCTAGTCTATGATACAGATCGAGTTGTTGATTACAGCCGTGTAATGGTTGTCTGTTTATTTATTGCCTGACTCCCGTATCTCTTTTCACTGGAATTGCTATCCATGGGACCTTTCTCACCTTCCTTTGGATTCTGAAACTTCTTACAAAAGAAAACTTTCTGCATAATTTTATCATATGGTTCCAGTGATCTGAAGGCAAGCGGCAGGAATGCCCAGTTGTGAAGCTTTTCTGGCAACAAGTTTGGTCTTTTTATTTGAATTAGTTTAATAACACACACAACAAAAATAAGCAGAGCAAATGGGCCTAAAACCGCAAGAAGAACATACCAGCCTGGGATAGAAAGTGCGAATACTAGAGCCGGAAAAATAAAGAACATCGCCAGGATATAGACGATGGCAAACCATCTGTAGTTTGCCGTGCTGTTGCCAAGAAATCTAGCCAGCGGCAAAGGAAATCGTAGAGCGGGTATGGGATAGAAGAGAATGATACCAGAGATGTTAAAAAAGAGATGACAGAAAGCTATTTGCAACGCGTTTCTGATACTATCTGATGATGTGGCCATTGCAGACAAAATAGCCGTTGTCGTGGTTCCAATGTTGGAGCCAAGAGTCAGTGGATACATTCGATCAAGCTGAATCACGCCAATTCCAACCAGTGGTGTCAGAGTTGAGGTAAAGACGGACGAACTCTGGACGATGATGGTCAGTCCTGCTCCGATGAGAATAGTTACATAGCCGGTGAAGTAGCCACAGCATCCCGGTAAGTCAGCGTTGATGAATTTTTTAATGATCAAGGCTACAGGACCTTGCAGCAAGGAATGAAGCAGCTTCACTATGCAAACCAAACAGATGCAGAGTATTGTGAGGGAGATAACCAGAAGTATACCGCCAATTGCCTTTTCGTTCAGCGTAGGGTATAGTCCCTTTAGTAGATAATTGCCTGCAATAAAAAGATAAATAACAATGTATGGATTAACGGTGGATGCACTGGGAAGTGCAGTGGCTATAGCATTCTCATCTGTCAGTCCACTAGTAGTAGGTTTAAAACCATTTAATAGTCAATTTTTCAGACTTACCTGAGGTCTCAGATTCACCGAGCCCAAGACCAAGAATGGTGAAACTATGGGGGTGACTGCAGTCAAGCTATGCATTCCAGAGAAATTTGACTAAAAAGCTCAACAAAATGGGAAAGAGGAAAACGTTCACAAAACAGCACAAAGTAACGTTTCGGCCGGGCAGCCTTTTTCAAACACAAGTGAAATACACAAACGAGGAATGGAGAGTATGTAGATCTCTAAGGGGTGACGTGAGCGACGTTTAAAAAAATGTGATGAGGAATAAATGAAATAAAATAAAATAAACGATGGCTAAAAAATATAGTCGCCCAAAGCATTCCCTGGTTAGTATTTATCGATAGTGGCTACGCACGTGTTGATCATTCTACTGACCAGACAGAGATGTGATTTCTATCAGAGATACATCAGTTAAGTGATTGTATGTATTTTTCTTCGCAACTGTGGCATTGCCAAAAATGACCTTGACTCCCAGGTCGACCCAGTCTATAATGGGTACCGGGTGCAGTCCCGTGAAGTAAAGGCGGCCGGTGTGATGCTGAATACATCACCCATCTTGTGCCGATTGGTCTATAAAAATATAGGTCTAGCCCTATATGCCCTATATGCCTAAAGGCGTGGAAAAGGGACCTTTACTTTTTTTTTAACTTTAATTGTGGCATTGCACGTTCATTTATGGGCTGATGAAGGTTCTGTAGCCGCGACATTCACTTATTGTTTGTTTGTAGTATTGTGAAGCCGACTGGTTTTTTTTTTTTTTCTCAATGGCTAACACGTTTGCCTGCCAACGTGATGGCGATAAGCCAGAGTCCATCTTGAAGAACGAATTTCGCCGCACATTGGCAACTATAAACATCTTTCAAATATGCAGAAAATACAATAGTACGGGCATGTAACAAGATCTAATGGCCTCTCAAAAAACAATACTACAGGGTTGAGTAAAGGAGAAGAGGCATGCCAAGAATAACCTGCGTACATAACATGACCGACTGGACAAACTTTAGGCATGCAGCCATGAAGTCCATCGCATCTGACGGTTAAATATGGAAAGAGCTGATCAGACAGTATACATCAACTGGTGAGCCAACTAAACGTAGTGTTACTGGACAATGTTCATGCTGGTGAGACCCATTTTCACGACATGCTTGCTAGAGGACAGTAGAATAGATAGATAGATAAATAAACAGACAGACAGACAGACAGACAGACAGACAGACAGACAGACAGACAGACAGACAGACAGACAGACAGACAGACAGACAGACAGACAGACAGACAGACAGACAGACAGATAGATAGATAGATAGATAGATAGATAGATAGATAGATAGATAGATAGATAGATAGATAGATAGATAGATAGATAGATAGATAGATAGATAGATAGATAGATAGATAGATAGATAGATAGATAGATAGATAGATAGATAGATAGATAGATAGATAGATAGATAGATAGATAGATAGATGGATCGATGGATGGATCGATGGATGGATCGATGGATGGATCGATGGATGGATCGATGGATGGATCGATGGATGGATCGATGGATGGATCGATGGATGGATCGATGGATGGATCGATGGATGGATCGATGGATGGATCGATGGATGGATCGATGGATGGATCGATGGATGGATCGATGGATGGATCGATGGATGGATCGATGGATGGATCGATGGATGGATCGATGGATGGATCGATGGATGGATCGATGGATGGATCGATGGATGGATCGATGGATGGATCGATGGATGGATCGATGGATGGATCGATGGATGGATCGATGGATGGATCGATGGATGGATCGATGGATGGATCGATGGATGGATCGATGGATGGATCGATGGATGGATCGATGGATGGATCGATGGATGGATCGATGGATGGATCGATGGATGGATCGATGGATGGATCGATGGATGGATCGATGGATGGATCGATGGATGGATGGATCGATGGATGGATCGATGGATGGATCGATGGATGGATCGATGGATGGATCGATGGATGGATCGATGGATGGATCGATGGATAGGTAGGTAGGTAGGTAGGTAGGTAGGTAGGTAGGTAGGTAGGTAGGTAGGTAGGTAGGTAGGTAGGTAGGTAGGTAGGTAGGTAGGTAGGTAGGTAGGTAGGTAGGTAGGTAGGTAGGTAGGTAGGTAGATAGATAGATAGATAGATAGATAGATAGATAGATAGATAGATAGATAGATAGATAGATAGATAGATAGATAGATAGATAGATAGATAGATAGATAGATAGATAGATAGATAGATAGATAGATAGATAGATAGATAGATAGATAGATAGATAGATAGATAGATAGATAGATAGATAGATAGATAGATAGATAGATAGATAGATAGATAGATAGATAGATAGATAGATAGATAGATAGATAGATAGATAGATAGATAGATAGATAGATAGATAGATAGATAGATAGATAGATAGATAGATAGATAGATAGATAGATAGATAGATAGATAGATAGATAGATAGATAGATAGATAGATAGATAGATAGATAGATAGATAGATAGATAGATAGATAGATAGATAGATAGATAGATAGATAGATAGATAGATAGATAGATAGATAGATAGATAGATAGATAGATAGATAGATAGATAGATAGATAGATAGATAGATAGATAGATAGATAGATAGATAGATAGATAGATAGATAGATAGATAGATAGATAGATAGATAGATAGATAGATAGATAGATAGATAGATAGATAGATAGATAGATAGATAGATAGATAGATAGATAGATAGATAGATAGATAGATAGATAGATAGATAGATAGATAGATAGATAGATAGATAGATAGATAGATAGATAGATAGATAGATAGATAGATAGATAGATAGATAGATAGATAGATAGATAGATAGATAGATAGATAGATAGATAGATAGATAGATAGATAGATAGATAGATAGATAGATAGATAGATAGATAGATAGATAGATAGATAGATAGATAGATAGATAGATAGATAGATAGATAGATAGATAGATAGATAGATAGATAGATAGATAGATAGATAGATAGATAGATAGATAGATAGATAGATAGATAGATAGATAGATAGATAGATAGATAGATAGATAGATAGATAGATAGATAGATAGATAGATAGATAGATATGCTGTTAGACAAGAATGTGACATGCTGTCATTATCCCTTTGGGTTATGTAACCTGGGCCACGATTCTGACAAGTAAGTGCATTAACGAATATGCCACACACTTCTTATAACTAAGTGTCTAGGTGTCTAACTAGTTGGTCATGCGTCGAGGTACACCTGTTTCTGCAGCGACACGTTGTTGTGATATGGAGATGACAGGTTCGATTAATGTTATACTTGCTACAGCTATAAATTGTAATGGTTTCTTGTGTAACTCTATATCTCTATTTCTTTCTTTAGGTGTGAATCAATAAACATCTAAAAAGACTTTTACTTTTCAGAATAACTATCAGACATTCCTAGTCCCCTACACATAGAGTTTAATGGTACTTGTCTAAAGCATGTTAAAGAATTTGAATAAATAGGAAGCCTATTCTCGGAGGACGGGGGATAGATCGAAAAAGAAAAAAAAAAACACAAGATGCCAACGAGCTAGTGTACAAAATGGCAACGCCAAGAAACGATTATAAACAGCATATTCATAAAGAAAATGTGCTACCAGTGCCAGACTTTGACATTTTCAAAGGCTAGCATACGTAAAATTAACATCTGCGATAATAAGATACCTTGAGAAAAGCCGGTAACCTAACCGTCTGAGACAAAGTTAGAAATGATGTTCTCTGACAGACTGTAGAAACAGCACTATGCAGCAAATTCATTGAGAAACAGAAGATCAAATGATTTAGTCATTTAGTAAGAATGCAGCCAGACAATTACCAGCGCGGGCACTACACACGAAAAGATCTGAAATTAAATCAAGAGGCCACCCTAAGAAAACATGGATTGATGACATTAAAGAGCTTCTGCATCGACACGAGATGACAGTGCTGCACATCAGGCAATGGATTGCAAACTGTTCCTTCCAAATCGCTTAACTGCAGAAGTGGAAATTGATGATGATAATGATAACGATGATTAACAGACATGCCAAAGACCACTTACATTCTGTGTGACATGTGTAATTTTCCACATCTCTAGTCCATCTTGTGCAAGAAAATCGTTGTCCCCAGACTTTTCTCTCTTCTGTGACGTTGAACCAGGACGCCTTGCAGTCTACTTTGGTGAAGATGTGATCATCGGACTGAAAACAGCTACTTAACATCTGGCATTTCTCAATGTGGCTTGCCTCTGAAGATAAGCCATCTGAAAGTCGTTAGCAAAATTGCATTGTAATCCTGAGTAGAACAGACAATACAATTTCAGTAAATGATAACTTTGCAGATTTAAATTATAATCATTATCATGATGTGACATGACTACAAGCGTAACCGACTATTTTTCGCCATCTGGCACAATCACTGTTTTATTGTTTCGATAATGTAACATTGATTAATGTTAATGTTAATGTTCATGTAATGGTAATGTTACATTATTCCATGTTACATTATCGAAACAATAAAACAGCCTTTGGTGGTCTAGGTATTTATTTGTGTATCTTTCTTGGGGAAAATATCAACGCATTTGAAGTGAAATGTTACAGAAAAATTCTTAGAATAATACAGATTAAGAAGAAGAAAAATAACGACATTCTACGTGATCTGGGCAATGAGGTGAACTGGCTCATAAACAGCATCCTGTCTGAAAGGATATTTTGGCGACTTCAAACATTGTGACGGCCTGAAGAGTACGGTGATGGAGGGTGCGGTTTCCGGTCAAAGAAGCAGATGCAGACCTCCGCGAATATGAAGATACATTGACTATGAAAGCATAAAGAACTGGAGAAGTAGCTAGAGAAAGAGAGACTTCCAGACGTACCGCGACGAGAGCAACGTTCTCTTAAGGGAACCGCTGATTAACGCTGATCTTCCTTTGCTTTTCTTTTACATTAACTCTTTCAGTCTAAAAACTACTTACAATATGTTTCTTGACCGTTCGAGGAAAATATCTGATATCTGATTCCACAGACAGGTTTTATACTAATCCACTTGTCTGAATTGTTAGTTTAACTCTATCCGTAGCAAGCAATCTATCATACTTTTGCTAGTTACTCTGTTTATTAAATACATTTGTAAGTTGTGTCTCTCCCGCTCTTGTATTATGTTTAACGCAGTTTATGTGAATTCAATTAGCGCAATCGTTTCAAATTCGTGTGTCTCGTATTGATATTATTATAATTGTACAATACTCAAACAAACTGTTATTATCTAGTTTATATCAATCCATTTAGCATACCGTTTCAACTTCTTGCGTCTCATATATGTTTCACTATATCCGTATAATGATTTTAAAAAATTTATGTATCCAGTTTATGGAAATAAATTTAGCACATCGTTTGAACTTCTTACATAACATGTTTATGTTACTTTTAAAATAATGTTATAATCAAGTTTATGTTAATCTATTTAGCATAATCGTTTCAATATTAATACTTTTTTAAAGGTCCTTTCCCACGCCTTCCTGCACATCAGGCATATAGTGCTAGATTTATTTTGTATAGACCAGTCGGCACTTGGTGGGTGATGTGTCAGCATTTTACTTCCCAGGACTGCACCCACTCAAGGCTGGGTCGACCTGGGAGCCAAGGTCATCTTTGAAAAAGTCCGTCTCCGTCAGGACTGGAACACACGACCTTCTGATCCGCAGTCAAGCGTCTAGCAGCTACACCACCGACTCCCCATTTAATATTTCCATATTTATAATTGAATTGTATAATACTTAAAAATATATTATTTAGTTTATGTTAATCCACTTAGCGTAATCATGTCACCTTCTTGCTCTCCATATTTATGTTACTTCAAATATAAGTGAATAAAGACCAATCTAGATGACTTATCCATGTAAATGGAATTAAAAATAAAACACCTTTCAGGCATGTGAAGCAATCACACTAAATGCACAGATCAAAAAGAACTTGCAGTCACAGAGATGTGCATTCTCTGCCATGTGCTTAGAAAACAACACTAATGACAAAGGCTCTGATATTTTAGTATGTGTGTAGAAACAATCACTGACCAGCAGTGATGCAGTCTAAACATTGGCTCCAGTTTTTCCGCTGTGTGTTTAGAAACAACCACTGACCAGCGGTGATGCAGTCTAAACATTGGCTCCAGTTTTTCCGCTGTGTGTTTAGAAACGACCACTGACAAGCTGTGATGCAATCTCAACATTGGCTCCGGCTTTTCCGTTGTGTGTAAACAATCACTGAATGGCGTCAGTGACTGCTCAACGCCTGCTCCGATGGTTCATGCAGGTGTGAAAACGGCACAAAAAGACAACAATCCACCTTCTCGAAAAGTTCACGCCCTGAAAGGATTTGACTGCCTCGTGAAACTGGGTTATGACATGGCTACATAAAAAATTCAACGCTCATCGTAGATCGGAAGGATGTGGATTCGCTCCTGGCGGAGCCCGACTTTTTTTTTTTTTAACATAACCTTGGCTCCCTGTTCGACCCAGCCTTGTATGGGTGCCGGATGCAGTCCCGGGAAGTAAAGACGGCCGGCGTGATGCCGACTACATCACCTATCTTGTGCCGATTGGTCTATAAAATAAAGGTCCAGCCCTATACTCCCTCAAGGTGAGGGAAAGGATCCTTTACATGGAAATTCAAGGGTGTTAGACAAAGGTCGACAAAGAAAAAAAAATGATTTTGACATACTGGCATAGAAGATAATAAAACATATACATTATGAAGAACACAGAGGACATACAGGGCCGTGCCGTGCTATGATACAGCGATTCGGCTGCATCAGGCGGTATTGTAATGGTGGCGGCAAAAGCAGCGAAATCTAAAAACAATTTGAACTTTTGATCTGCCAGTGCACAGCATTTAGAGGTGGCATTTCGAAGAATCGCATCATAGTGAGAAAATCTAGGGCACAGAACTGAGGACATTGTTATGCACCTGAGTGCACAATTGCCAGTTTTCACCAAAGCGCATTTTCAGGTCTGTATTTCGTAACATCATAATATTTCAAACGCACATATATGAATTCAAGACAGTGAAAATATTAAATACTGTATTACTTTTCACGCAACTATTCACTTTTCTTTTGCCGCTTCAGAGCGAAAGCTGATTTTCTCGAGAGAAAAAAAAAGGTTTTAGCTCTTATGTGACTTTGGCGAAGTGCCAGCTGTGTAATTCTGAAAGAAATACCACGCTATTAGGAAACTTGACAACAATGAAGATTGCCTGTGATAATACTTGTTTTTTTTTAATTCTATGCATTGTTAGTGATTTCTCAGCAACGTACCTAATTTGGACTGGCAACATTTGGTTTCGTTGTTGGTTCCCTTGAAAATGGCGCAATCTATAACTTCCGTGGTAATCCTGGTCTGCTGCTCACCATAGATCCAGGGGATGCTCTCGCAATATGGTGATGGCTGAGGCTTTTTCTTACCCAAGCACTGAGCTACCTGCATAATTATAAGTTTATCGCGTTAGTTATATGATAATAGGATATATAAATATCAATTTTTTCTTTTAAACATGATGTTATGTATTTCAGAACTTTTCGACGCTAAACTATTTGTATTTCTGATAATCATGTATGTCTTTGCCATTCCCCGTCTGTCAATACTATCTCTCTGAATTAAACTTGGCTAACACAGGCCTACAAATAACATTCCTATTTCCACCCCATCCCCACATTAACCCCTTTTCTCAATTTTCACTAGATAAACATTTGTTTCCCCTAGAGTGGGACACATAATCAGGGAAACCGATTGATTTATAAAATATAAGTCTACCTCTATGTGCCTAATTTGCATGAAAGTATGGAATAAGATCCGTTACTTCTGACCTGATATGGAGAACTAGGCATAACAGAATGTTTTGCTTCGAAGTTATTTCTGCTCCTCACAACGCTTTGCTACTGCAGTTTCTACATATGGATGGAAGTCTACGGTTTTGCTGCCTGGGTCACTCAGTATCGTGATTGGTGCAGCACTGAAAAATGATGGAGGCATAGCTGAATGTTGCGCTTTAGAATTGTTTTTGCCTCCGAAAGCGCTTTGCTGCTGCAGTTTCCACATACTGACGGAAGTCTACGGTTTCGCTGCCTGGGCTATCTGAGTTTAGTGCTTGGTGCAACCCTTTAAGCTGTATTTTTCCTGTGGAATGCTATCATATGTGCAACGGTTCAGTCGTGGAATTCAATATGACCGTTAGTCCGTTTACGTGTGGGATGGCGAAACACCTTATGTAATGACTTTACGTGTGCATAACCAGCTTATCGTGACCGACTACTTCCATCAACGACAAACTGCATTTCTGGTAACAGCTGTTGGCTTAGGCGCCTCTAGCATCTGCCTTATGCATTTACAGCCTGCACAAATTTCTTGATTGTATAATATATTAAAACTGAAAGAGTATTAGAATTGAAATAGTTTATTTCAATTTTAAACTGTATAATTTAAAGTTTCAAATTTAACGCCGGCTTTGAACCTTTTGTTGCCTTGGCATTGCGTATCACCAGTTCTGTCTTTGTGTTTCAACGGCAGTAACAATCGTTTCCTAATTAAGTAAAGTGATCTGCTGATTAAATTCCTTTTGTCTCCACTGTTGCGTCTCTTTGATATGTTATTAATATTTGATACATTCGTCTTTTCATAAATGATTTTTTTTTTAAAAATATGACTGTTAATGCTTTCTTTGCAAAATCAGCTGTTGTTGTTCGTGTGTGTGTGTGCATGTCATTATCGTTCTTGCTTAGCAGAACAGATACTTTCATTTTAGTTCACGCCATCTCGGAGAATCCGAGAGTTCACGAGAAAGATACTTATTCACACCATAACACCCCTATAATATTGTAAATACTCTGGGAACTCTCGGATTCCCCGAGATGGGGTGAACAAACAAACAAACAAAAACGAACCGCGGAACATAGTATTGTGTTTCACAGAAAGAAATTACAGTGGAAATAATATACAGTAGAACTTCGCTTAACGAGCACCTCTCATAACGAGTAATTCGCATAACGAGCAAAACAAACTGTAAAAGAAAGACTCGCTTAACGAGCGACGTTTCGCATAACGAGTGGCGAGGGGAGGGGAAGTCCCGGATTTTGCGCATGTTAAATTATTGTTTAGCACTCGTTCCAGTAGCATTGTTACTTGTGATCATACATTTTCTCAAACTTGTTTTATATTGTAATATATGTACATGAATCCTCCAGGCCTACAAGATGACCTCTCTGGTGAATTTAAGTTAATCAAGATCCAGTTTCTGTCTCCCAACACCACTCCTTTACTCCAGCCCATGGACCAGCAAGTTATTTCTAACTTTAAGAAGCTCTACATTAAAGCACACTTCGAGCATTCTTTTCAGGTGACTGAAGGGGCCAACCTCGCTCTCAAAGAGTTTTGGAAAAATCACTTCTACATTGTTGCCTGCCTTAAGATGACCGACAAGGCAGGGGAAGGGGTTACCAAGAGAACCCTAACTTCTTCTTGGAAGAAGCTTTGGCCGGAGAGTGTTGTCGATTTGTGACTTTGAGGGGTTCGAGACAGTACCTGTAAAACCTGTAGTCAACGAGATTGTGTCTTTGGCCACTATCATGGGATTGTAGGTGGATAACAGTGATATCGAAGAGCTTGTGGAAGAGCACAGACAATTGCTGACCATCATAGAGCTTATGGAGTAGTATTGTGTTTCACAGCAAGAAGTTTTGGAGGATAGTTTGTCAGAGGAGGAGGAGGAGGAGGAGGAGGTAACTTAAAAGCAACAATCTCCTGGCGAAATAGGAACATTGGTAAAAGCATGACAAACTGTTGCATCTCACATTGAGAAGCATTACCCTAATAAGCAAGTGGCAATGCGCGCTGCAAATTTAATGATAATGCTGTGTCGCATTTTCGCCAAATTTTGAAGCGTCGACAAAAACAAATGTCTCTGAACATCTTTTTAGTAAAAAAAAAATAATTAGCTATGTATCATAACTATTTCGACTTTTTTTTTTTTTTTTTTTTTTGCAAATCGAATTCGCATTCCATGTTGGTCCGTTCCGCGTTTGAAGAAAAGATAAAGATGATTCACTCTCTTTAAATATGTATATAATTTTCTTTGAATAAACGTTATAGTATAACTTATACATAGCATTGTGTGAGTATTTTTTTTTTCGACATGGAACGCATTATCGTATTTTATACTAATTTATATGAGAAAAATTGCTTCGCATAACGAGCGTTTCGCTTAACGAGTAGAATTCTGGAACGAATTATGCTCGTTAAGTGAGGTTTCACTGTATGTATTAACATTTTTAAAATATATACATGCCTCTTTGCACACAGCTTGTTTTTGCAGTAATGTGTAGTTCTGACCACTTTGGATGAAATCTAAATTGTTGCGGCGGGTTCTGCAACATTGGCTTGGTGATACTTCGTCACAGCAGAGTTTCAGGATGGTCTGATCATTGTCGAACTGATTTCCCATGCCATGAGCAATCTTAGCGATGGCGTCTTTGCTAATCTGGCCGAGAAATATAAACCTTTGCAGTACTCAGAATACTTTTTTTCAGATCATTGTAAAATTAATAATATTTTGTGTACAACGTGAACCAACAAATTTAGAAATTTGAAAAATGAGGAAAGGGCAGAAGCGAGGCAGCTTACTTTTTTTTTCTTTCTTTTCTATCCAGTTTCGTCCTTTTTAGGACGAATTTTTTTGTTATTTGAAGCCCCATCCTGGCTTTTGCCAGGGGCCACAATATAGGCAGGCCATAAATATGGCCAATTGTCTGAACGCAGTTTTTGGGACCTCTCCACGGCGATCCTCATCCACATGGTGGCACTTTGTGTCATCGGGTGTTTATCGCTTGTGTGATGTCCTGGTGGGGTAGAAAGTCTGTCAGTCAGTCAGAAGCGAGGCAATAGGGAATACAGTGCTTCGTCATCTTATGATTTGGGTGTGGGGAGCCTTAAGGGACCTAAGCCTCGATTAAGTATTCAAAAATACTAAGAGTTGGTTAATTAAAAAGTTGGTCTCTCCACGGAAAGTAGGTCAATTTCTTTGATAAGTTTATTGGACCAGTCTACCGTGATCGAGGTTATGGGTGTGGCGGTCTGTTGCTGTCTTGCATTTACGTGTTGTTGTTTTTTTTTTCCGAGAAAGAGACTGCCTGTGACATAGGTTTCGTCACTCTATAAAAGGGTTGTGTGTTAGACCCAGCTGTCGATGTTTTTGGAGTGTTAAAACTAAGGCTGTACCGAATAGTGGTTTTCACTATTCGGCCGAATACGAATAGTGGGACCAACTATTCGGCCAAATACGAATACGAATAGTATATCATCATCATCAGGTGCCTCGCCGACTGGTGTGGCGATTTTGCATCGCCACAATTTGCGATCTCCTGCAGCATGTATCAGTTTGTGTGCTGACACACCTCCATGACATGCAACGACTGTCAAGAATCTTCTCTCGTTGTATTTTTCTATCTCTCCTTCCACAAATCTTTCCAGTGGTCACTACATGTTCCATTTTCACTCTTTCTAAATGATGACTGTCTTCTTCTGATGTCTGCGATTAGTTGTCTTCGGGCTTCCGCCTCTTTCAAAACCTAGTGGTTGCTTTTTTTAAACTGTCCAAGGTATTTTAAGCATTGTTCTGTTTTTTTTTTTTTTTTTTTTTTTAAACGTATCCAGAAACCATGAGTTGTAAACCCTTTGGCTCGGTACTATGGATATCGCAACCCTTCGGCTTTGATTCCATTATAGGTACCGTTAATCTAGGAGAAATGTGGCTTTTCTGCCTACCCCCGGGAGTGAACCCGGACCACAAGGAGTTCGTCACCCGGCCGCCGCGAAAGTCAGGTTTAACCAACTTCGCTAGAGAGCCGGGCAAGCATTGTTCTGTAAAACCACATCTCTGAGGCCTCAAAAAATTGTTTGGCCTGGCTACCGATTGTCCAGGACTCATAGCCATATGTTAAAACTGGATGTATGTAGCAAGCAAGACAACGATATATTGTACAAGATGTTCTTTTTTTTCTTTTTTTTTCTTAATATAAAATGCATTT